CTTGAACTTAGAACACTGGCTGCTGTAGCATCTCAAAATGGCTCCGCACTTAAAGACTTGCCGCCAAGACTGAGAACCTGAGTTCATTCACTGAAAGTTACATGGTGGAAGAAGGAGAAAACCAATTCCCACAAGATGTTGTCTAAATTCTTCTTCTTCTTCTTCTTCTTCTTCTTCTTCTTCTTCTTCTCTGAGACAGGGTTTCTCTGTGCCTTTGGATGCTGTCCTTGAACTAGCTCTTGTAGACCAGGCTGGTCTCGAACTCACAGAGATCCTCCTGCCTCTGCCTCCCAAGTGCTGGGATTAAAGTGGTGTGCCACCGCTGCCCGGCCTCATGAGAAAACCTTTAATGAAAATATCAGCATGCTGGTATGTGTGCAGTGTTCACCATAGGTGGAGTTCATGTAAAAAGATCAACAGGATGTAGGCGCTAAATAGACCTGTCTTCTTCCTCCTTTCTCTAGCCATGCCCTCTTCCAGTGTCAAATCTCCATTGATAATAGGAGACCTGGGGAACAATGAAGTAGCTTCCTTTGCTCCAACGGCAGCCAGTAGATATGGCCTTGCCCTCCTTTATTAGCTCCTTGCCCCTCACCCAGTACCAGTGCTAAATCTGTGTTCACAGTTCATAACCAGAGTCAGCTTCTTCTGTAGGGTCTGCAGCTGAGAATACCATGGAAAATGTCAGTCAGTATCCCCATGTTTCCAGGCCTGTAAAAAAAATGACTTTGCAGGGGCTGGAGAGATGGCTCAGAGTTTAGGAGCACTGACTGCTCTTCCAGAGGACTCAGGTTCAATTCCCAGCACCCATGTGTGTTCATGTGTGCTCACACCTGTCACCCCAGTTTCAAGAGATATGACATCCTCACACTCACATACATGCAGCTAAAACACCAATGCACACACATAAAATAGAAATAAATTATAATAATCCCAGCAATTCAGAGGGCAGGCAGATCTCTGTGTGATCGAGACATGCCTGGTCTACAACAGTTAGTTCCAGGACAGCTTCCAAAGCCATAGAGAAACCCTGTCTGGAAAAAAAATATGACTTTGCCCTCTCTCATGATTGTGAAGTCCAGCACATGGGCTCTCTTCATCTGAGGCTAGATCCCAGACACTTAAAGGAAGACCACATGTCAGATTTCTTGCATTTTCTGTGTTTGGTTTCCTTTTTGATCAGCTATTGCCTTAAGATAACTTTATAGCCACAGAAGCTGACATTGGGATAATCAACTTCTTTCCATAAGTTTTATAACAAATCTGAATGTGCAGGCCAGTCACCTACCAAAGGTCAGTCCCACCCAAACTCCTCCTAGCCTTAGAAAGAGGGTCCCCCAAGGGAAATGGAATTATTGCTACTAGAAATGTAAATGGCCTTGGGGTAGTCAACCCCCACTCCATACCCCACAACAGTCTCATTATCCTGCAGGACCTTGTGTTTTGGCCTCAACTTGTGCACTTTGTACTAATCTGCCTCCATCTGTCTACCTAACCCATGATGTACTTTCTGGGCATCCTGCCTGTGCCAGGCTCCTTTACCTCTCTGGTTTCAGGCAGCATTACCTAGGAAGTTGGCTGTGACCCAAAGAAGAGCCACCTGTTCCAGCCTGCTTCCCCACTGTGCTCTCTGCAGAGTGGTATTTGTGTTGATTGGTAGTCTTGTGAGCAAGGACCTGGAAGGTTGTAACAAGGAAGTCCTGTGTAGAGGTATGAACATAGCTCCTGATAGGGCCCAAGCTGCCACTATTCCTGCAGGTTCCAGTGGCATGGTCAGGGCTGCAATGCTTCAACAGAGCCAAGCCCTAAGACTGTGCTCCCATAGGACCAGGGGATATCCTACTTGAGTGGGTCAACATGGAATGAGGAGGTGGTAGGCTCCTTGTGGTTTCTAGGGACAACATGGCTCTCCTTTCTTTGCTCTGTTGGCTTAGAAAATTTGGTTTGCAAGTAGGGGCCTCCTGTTGCCAGCTTTCTCTGATGGTGCTGTGGATTCCTTGCATGGGATCACCTTTCCCCTGCCTTTGTTCTCTCTTTGTTCCTAGCTGGAAAGATACCATTGATAGAATTATCCAGACAGGATATACCAAAATCCTCATCCCCATGGGCAGCCCAACCCAGAGGAGAGAGTGTCTGACAATCAGATCAAGTGCTGCCCTGATCAGGAAAAGGTGAGCCCCTGGCCCACTGGAAAGGCCCTTAACCTAGGACGAGCTTGAGGCATAGATGAAGTCAGATCTAGGCTATGGCTCTGGGTATTGTGTTTCTCTGTGTAGCTTTGGAGCCTATCCTGGCACTACCCTGGAGACCAGGCTGGCCTCGAACTCACAGAGATCCGCCTGCCTCTGCCTCCCAAGTGCTGGGATTAAAGGCGTGTGCCACCAACGCCCAGCGGGTATTGTGTTTTTCAACTCAGCTGACTGTGCGTTGGGGACCAAAAAAGATGGATTTATGATATTTTGGGTTCAAACCTCAGCTCGGTTCCATGAGCCCGAATCTCACATTGTCTTTTAAATGGCATCTGGTTACCGCTGGATGGCTTGGCCTCAGTGGAGAAGGTCTCCTAGTTTGCATAATAATAGATCTAGGACCTGGGTTGGCCCACACTTATTCTGAGGACTTGAATACGTGCCTAGGGACTGGTGGAAGGCTGATGAGGACAAGAAGTTTTAGGGGTGCCTCTGGGATTAAAGGAAATATTTGATATTAGCTTTATACATGATAATAGTTGCTTTCTGATATCACACCTACTGTTGGAACGCTATTTAAGAGGATGTTTGAATAAACCATGGACTCTAGTCTCCATCATGGACTGAGAGCCCTCCTGAGATGACAAGATGCCTCTGTCTTATCTTTATCGCCATTGGGTAGCTAGGAGTTTCCAGGTCCACACTCTCCCACTCAGGGATGGACCCAGGGCTGTTCGACTGGCTCTGATTGCAGCCCCAAAGACATCAGTCCAGAATATATGGCTTCCATAGCATGGGACTGATGCAGGCCAAACCTCGGCAACTGTGTAACAAGGTGGACAGCTTGTCTTGGTCAGCGTTCCATTGCTGTGAAGAGACACCATGGCCATGGCATTTAATAGGGGCTTGCTTACAGAGGTTTAGTTCATAATTAGTTTGGTGGGATGTGTGGCAGCATGCAGGCAGACACGGTGCTGGAGATGTGGCAGTGGGTTCTATGTATGGATCCACAGGCACCAGGGAGAAAACACTGGGACTGGCTTGACACCTCAAACCCAAAATAGTGACACACTTCCTCCAGCAAGGCCACACCTAATAGTGCCACTCCCTGGTGACCAAACATTCAAAAATCTATGAGCCTATGCTGGAGGGGGAGCATTCCTATTAAAGCCACCAGACAGCTTTTCCTGCATCCTTCTGACTCTAATTCCTGGTGTGGACTGGGATTGAGCATCCAGCTCTCTTCAGTCCAAGGATTCCACATCATGTTGCCCCGCCCATTTTCTGTACCCTACTCCAAGGTAAAGAGGGACTCTAGGTATCCATATTTCCAGCAGATACCTATCTACAAGCCAACTGAATGAAGGGTCCAGGTAGTTCTGGACATGACATGTAGGTCCCTGAGGTAATCATTATTTTCTAATTCCTTGATCAGGGGCACTCTTACAATGATGAGGCAAGAGTCTGCTGTTTGCCCAGCCTAAGGGGAAGGTAGAAGTGGGTGGTGGGGGATACATCTCTCAAAACCTCTGTCCTCCACTGGGAGCAGAGATCTCAGCGGACCCGATCCAAGGTTCCTTCAAATTTAGAGGCCTCGTGTTGTAATTGGGTTCCTCCGAGTTAGAGACAAGGTGCACTGACTGGGTGGGAGGCTTCTGATATTGACCTCAGGTTCGGTTCCTGCCGGTAAGACTGGTGCTGCTTCCCATTTTCAGGATGGCTAGGACAGAGGCTAGGAAAGGGCTCTGTGGGCGAGTGGGAACATATGATTGTTTACAGACATGTATGTTCTGTGAACACTGCAGCCCACCTAGGCCCTCTTTATCCTTTCCCAGCTTAGGTCAGCTGGAAGGTGTCATGAGGGGGTCAGAATCCAAAGGACATTTGGCTGAGACCCTCCTCACCTCTCTGTCCTTAACAGCAGAGTTTTCAGCACTAGGGGGGTTCTGGCTTCACCCCTAGTTAGGGCAAGGTGGGCCTAGCCAGGTGTTCTCTGACCCTGAAAGCTGTGCGTGTTGGGTGACCAGCGCAAGAGTAGGACTGCAGTGGTCCTGCGGTGTTGCCTTTCTTCCTTTTCCTCTGTGGAGCAGCATAGCTATTGCACAGCTGAGTTGTTTCTGTTTGGTTGTTCTGTTTTTGAGAGTGGTCTTATGTTTGCTAAGCAGTCAAGGATGGCCTTGACCTTCCTGATCTGTTCTCCCAAGAACTGGGATTACAGGTTTAGGCCACTATAACCTCTCTGGGGTGCTTGTTTTACTTTTTAAAAAAATTATTATTTTTAATTACTCATATTTACATATCCATTCCCCCATTCCCTTGCCCTCCACTCCTCCCATATTTCCTCCCCACCCCCCCCCCACTCCTCTGCAGGGATAGTGAGGCCCTCTCCCAAGGACCTTCAAAGTCTGTCATATTGTTTGGGGAGGGTCTAGACCCTCCTTGCTGTATCTGGGCTGCAATAGTATCCCTCCATAGGGAATGGGCTTGTTTTTACTTTTTATCTTGTTTTCATTTTGAGGGTCTCACTAAATTATCCAGGTTGACCTTGAGTTAATTTGGTAGCCCAGGTAGTCTCTCTGTCTCTGTACTATCTGTGTGCCCCCTCCCCTCCAACTCTTTATTTGGTTTTTCAAGACAGAGTTTCTCTGTGTAGATCTGGAGCCTGTCCTGGAATTTGCTCTGTAGACCAGGCTCGCCTTGAACTTACAGAGATCCGCCTGTGTCTGCCTCCGGAGTGCTGGGATTGGTAGGTTCTCTGTTAAGCAGCTTGGATTCTATAGGCTTGCACCACCTGACTCAGGGTGGGCTTTTGGTAGGCATTTTCTTTGTCCAGTCCTGACCCTCTTCACTAGCCAAAGAAGGGAAGGAAAACCGATGAGACAGAGAAGGTCGGTCTGACCTGCACCTTCTCTTCAGATGTGCAGTTATTCAGTTGTCACCACGCCAAAGACTTGCCTCAGACTTCTCTTCCTACTAGATGCCATCCGTCCAAAAGATACAGGAGTTCAGGGTGAAGTTATATTTCAGTCATTTTGCCTATCTCCTTGGTCAGAGCGTGGAGTGCGGGTCCCTCTTACTGGCCACGAGGGGCCAGCATCGGAGGGACCGTCCGTCAGGGGTCCTTATCAATTGTGGCAAGGCCCTGTCCCAGGGTCACTGCGCACCACCTGCCCACGGTAGCCGGACTCTTGTGCCCTGGGATGAGGCCCAGAGAGGGTTAAGGGGGCGGGACCTGGGTCAGCCCCCCCTCTGCCGCTGGGTCCGAGCGCGCACTAGACGTGGGCGTGGGGCGGGTTGGAGCGGGTGGCGGATGAGGGCCCTTCGTGGGGCGGGTTGGAGCAGGTGGCGGATGAGGGCCCTGCGAGGGGCGAGCGCGGCAACGGCTGGGGTGGTGTGGCCAGCG